ATTCTGCTGCTGCTTAAAGTATTGCCCCTTAATTTTAGCATCCACTGTGGATTGTGCCTACAACAATTATTACGAAGATGTTGTAATTGTAACCTTCTATTTTCTTCACTCCATCTACTTTTACTAATTGGAATCCTTTAGAAGGGAAGAGTTGTCCCTTCTTCCCCATTTATTCACTTTATGTATATGCACATGGACTCGAGGGGATGCATATATATCTAGATATCTAGATATAGATATAGATATCTATATCTATATATAGATGTATATTTAGGGGTTGAAATCCAACACTATCATTATTTTGTTGTTCAAAGCATTCTAGCTTTGGCCATTGGGAGGGTTAAAAGGTTGATTGCATATACACTAATCCTTGAATGTGTGCACACGTGCATGCACGTGCACGCACGCACACACACACACACACACACACACACTTTTTTTCCTGTATCTATGCATTCATACTGAAACCTTTAATGCCAGTCCAGCACATAGGGTCATTATTATAGTCTATACCTTTTTCTTGTTTGTAAACTTCTTTCTCTGACAGGGAGAAGCCTGGCTTTCATTATCTGTGATATATTTTCTTGGTTTGGCCTTATTATACACGTAGTTTCAGAGCTGCTAACGCATACCCCTGTGAGAGGAAAAAAAGGAATTACCAAGTAGAGTACAGTATTTGTATAGTATTCTTTTTGTCTACTGCCTTATGGTATCCAGTGAGAACCCTCTTCCAGAGTGACTTAGGTCATCCCCTTCCTTCCCACCCCCTGCAGTGTGGTTATGTGATTCATTTGTAGTCAGTCGTCATCATTTGTCACAGTCTGCATTCCTCCTTGCTTTCTCCCCACCTCCTGGGTGACTGTTTTTATAATTTTACATGCAGTCAAATTGCCTCTGTGCTTTACAGTTCCAAGAGTTTTGACAAATTCAGAGAGTTTGTTGACCAGCACAGTTTCTTACATAGCGGTTCCATCACCTCCCAAATTCCCTTATCTTGATTCTTGGTAGTCAATAATTTCTCCACCCCCCCCCCCACCCCCTGGCAATTATTTATTTTCTGTCCGTATAATTTTACCTTTTCCAGAGTTTCATGCAAGTGGGATCATACATTATGTGGCCTTTGAGGCTTCTTTCACTGACCAAAAGACATTTAAGATTCATGCGTGTTATTGCATGAATCAAGTTTGTTCCTTGAATTGGCTTCGTATGGGTATACTACAGATGTGTATCATTTTTCCAGTTAAAAGACCTCGGGGTTGTTTCCAGCGTGGGGTGATTATGAATACAATTCTATAAACATTCACGTACAGGCTTTTGTGTAAAACTAAGTTTTCATTCTTCTTTGATAAATACCGAGGAGTGGATTTGCTGGCTCATATGGTATGTGCATGTTTATAAGAAACTAGCAAACTGTTTTCCAAAGTGGCTGTTCCCACTAACGACATACGAGTGTTCCAGTTGCTCCAAATCTGTGTTGTCATTATAGTTCCATAATGGCTACAAATAAAGTAGGGTAGTCAATAATTTCTCCCCCCCCCCCCCCACCCCCTGGCAATTATTTATTTTCTGTCCGTATAATTTTACCTTTTCCAGAGTTTCATGCAAGTGGGATCATACATTATGTGGCCTTTGAGGCTTCTTTCACTGACCAAAAGACATTTAAGATTCATGCGTGTTATTGCATGAATCAAGTTTGTTCCTTGAATTGGCTTCGTATGGGTATACTACAGATGTGTATCATTTTTCCAGTTAAAAGACCTCGGGGTTGTTTCCAGCGTGGGGTGATTATGAATACAATTCTATAAACATTCACGTACAGGCTTTTGTGTAAAACTAAGTTTTCATTCTTCTTTGATAAATACCGAGGAGTGGATTTGCTGGCTCATATGGTATGTGCATGTTTATAAGAAACTAGCAAACTGTTTTCCAAAGTGGCTGTTCCCACTAACGACATACGAGTGTTCCAGTTGCTCCAAATCTGTGTTGTCATTATAGTTCCATAATGGCTACAAATAAAGTAGTATTGATGGGGACATTGGAGGTGATGGAGAGATAGCCCTGGCAGCTATCAAACTGTGTGCCCCGTTGAAGGGGAGGATGGGGAGGGGCGACATTGGTGGAAGTCCTAGGTCTGTGACATAGGGTGAAAATCTGCCCATCCATGTAAACCACCACCGAGTGGAGAGAGAAGAAAAGCTAAAGCCTTAACAAAATGGACGTTTCTTCATGTTTTATTCGACACTGTGACCCTTTGAGAGGTACATTATCAGCACTCTTTTTAAACAGCCTTTTTGAAGTTTGCTAACTTATGATGACAAGGTTCACCTTCCCCTTCTCTGATGAATGTTCAGAGGTCTCCTCCTCACTTCATATTACCAGACTCCTCTCACACAGCGATTCTCAGAGAGGGCCTTAGATAGTTTTGTATGAAAGGAAGTCTGTAAATCTGATATATTCAGGGGCTGGGGTACGGGCTTCCCAACCTCTGACTGCTGAACACTCCCCTCCTTTCTTCCTGCCATGCAGTCTTTGTTTTTAATATTCTTTGACTTTTAGAGCAGTTTTAGGTTCAGAACAAAATTGAGTGGAGAGTACAGAGAGTAACCCTGTACCTCCTGCCCCCATAGATGCACAACCAGCCACTATTAATTGTCTGCACCAGAGGGTACCTGTGTCACAATGGGCGACTTGACATTGACACAGCATAATCACCCAAAGTCCATGGTTTACATTAGGGTGCACTCTTAGCGTTGTTGTCCCTGCAGGGTTTATAAACTACAAAGCCTTTCTGTCTCATTCTGTGGTCTCATTCTCCACAACAAGGACATGCAGAGACAGGACGGAGATGGGATGGGGCGGGGGTGGAAATTTTGTCTCCAAATACCCTGCTTCCTTCATCCGATTTATCCAAGTTTGGCTTAGTGGAAATTCATTCTAAATCTGGCAGATAGTTAAATAATAATATTACTAGTTTCCAGTGCTGTTAAAATGTTGTGTGACTCTGTGTGTGTTTGTGTGTGTGTGTGTGAGAATTATGTAGAGCTTATCCTGGAAAATACTTTATTAACAAGATCTCTTTTCCAGAGAAGATTTGTTGCAGAAATGATTTCATGAAAATTCATTTAATGATGCTCTATTACTATGACTAATATATCAATTCAACATAATTTTCTCTAATTAATATGAAAGTAAATAAAAACAAACTACTTCCACATAATGAAAAGTATTTTAACCAAATGTTGACGGACTTGTTCTCAGTTAAGTATATATTTTGAAACAGTTCTAAAGCTACTAAAGACTGAAAAGATAAAATAAATCATATTATCCCATAACGCATCATTGATCAAAGAAAAAACACCCACTAAGATTTTAATTCATTAGGAAAGTCTCAGCATTTATAATTGCAGTCTGTTCTTTCTACTTCACTTAATGGCACCATTCCTTCCCTCCTTCCCTTCTTGGCATTTGTCTTCACACTGGAGGAGGAGGAGGACATAATTGTGCCCATACCAAGCCTGATTCTTCTTCTGCACTGTGATTCTGGGAGCAGCAATTAGGTGCATAATTACCTGAGGTTACCGTGAAAATTTTCTTCATAGCTGTCAGTCATTCCTTAAACTACTCTCGCAAATGCTTTTTCCTTTTTGGAAGTATTGTCATTCGAACCACATTATTCACCCCATCCAAGCTCTCCATTCTCTGTAAGAACTTCTAGGGTGCTTGTGAAGCTTTAGAGGGCAAGTTTCGTCTCAGAAATCATACTACTTGTAAGCTCGAAGCAATTATGTTATTTTACAATCCTTGCTACAGGACAGAAAGTGAATGTTGAGTAGGTAATTCTCCTAATTTGAAAACAGAGAAACAGGTACAGAAAGAGATTGAGCAACTTAGTAACAATCCCTGACCTTTGGTTAGCACTTTTACTTTATGCATTATGTTGTATCACATGACCTGATGCTCAGAGCAAAACTTTTGAGAGGTAGGAAGAGCAGATAGTCTTTGACAAATGAAGACACTGAGCCTCAAAGACAAGAGTCACTTGCCTAGGATGGCACAAGTAGAAACTGCTTTCATTGGAACTTGAACTCAGGTGCTTTGATTCCCAACCCACAGAGCCTTTACTTGTCACACCACAATGCCTCTTTCTAACTTGAACACAGAGAGAAGCAGTGCAGCCATCTTGACGCTGCCAACCAAAACTTGACTCAGGGTTCACTATGCAGATGCCTTGAAATCTAAGGAAAAAAATACTGTTGTCTTGAAAAAAGAATCCATGCATCATTTTCAATGAAAAGAATCCATGTATCATTTTCAATGGTGTTCTATTAGTCCTAAGGCACTTATAAATAACTCATATATGAATAACCCTATAATTTCCATAATTATAAACACATGTACAAATGATAGTAGATTGAGGCAAGCTACCAGAAAGTATGCTTGGATTAAAATAGTTCGGATGGGAATGTACATTATGCAACTCTCAGAACGCATATTAAAGAACAAACTTGGTTAAAGTATTAATACAAAATGGGCTTTAAAATCCTGATTTCCTGGGGCTTCCCTGGGGGCGCAGAGTCTGCCTGCCAATGCAGGGTACAAGGGTTCAAGCCCTGGTCTGGGAAGATCCCACATGCCACGGAGCAACTGGGCCCGTGAGCCACAACTACTGAGCCTGTGCGTCTGGAGCCGGTGTTTCTCAACAAGAGAGGCCGCGACAGTGAGAGGCCCATGTACCGCGATGAAGAATGGCCTCCTCTTGCCGCAACTAGAGGAAGCCCGTGCACAGAAACGAAGACCCAATGCGGCCAAAAATAAATAAATAAATAAAATTAAAAAAAAAAAAATCCTGATTTCCTGTAACAAATTTTCTAAATCTCGTTTAAAAATTTAAAACATGATTTTTTTCAGCTCTCATAAACTTTTTCTTCTACCATAGAAAATTGGTTTTGCCCTTGGGAAACCAACGTTCTGTTAGCTTCCTTTTAAACATGATTTGATGATTAGAAGGCCTTCACTGTGGGAGCGATCGTGTGGAAGAGTTTATGACCTCGGGAATTTGTATGTTCAAAGATATAACCTGGAGGAGAAGGATAACTAGGCAGGGCAGATTTCCTGTTTCTTTGGTGCACACTCGGGAGAGTACACGGTTACGTCATCAAATGGAATAGAACTCTTAAAGGGAACATTTACAGGTTTGCAACTCTCTGCTGGAATCAATTCACGTGGCACGTAGTGAGATCTGAAAGTGCTCAAACCGTCAAATTTTCCAGATGGGTTGGGGATCTGCTGCTCCTGCTTAATAAGTCTTTAACAACAACTTTCCCGTGCTGGAAAATCTTCCTTCGTGGTGCTTTTTCCTTGGGAAGGAAAACTGTTATTTTTTCTACGAGAAACTGGCCTGATGGGAAGGAACAACACGTCTGGCCTCATATGGAACATAATCGATGTGGCTTGTGTTGTGTAATTGCACGATACCAGCGGGAGGGCATACTCTTGTACTTTCTTGACTTCGGGTGGTGGGATTTCCCATGGTTGAAAACTGTCACAGAATTCAGTGCTTCTTTCAAATTGAGCATTTTGGGACACTCTGGTGTATGGAGGTCTGCAGATGTTTGCATTTTCACCAACAAGCCCCTGGAAGTCATATCGGTGAGCTGTGAGATCCTCAAAAGGTTGCTTGGTTGGTTGGCTTGTAAACTTCTTTTGGCCTCGCAAACTTGAATTCTAGCTGATGAGGTACGTAATCAAGGCGATGACTTGTATCACCATTAAAGGGGACTGTAGAACGTTTGACTGCAGGGCTGGGTTTAAAGCTTTGCCTAGGCTTTATCTCACAAGGAACACAGTCATCCTGAAATGTAGTTGTTTCCAAATTTCACAGTAGGGAGATAGTAAGTTTGTTCTTGTTTATAAAGTTCACTTTTCTGAATGTCCCAAGCTCTATAATCATCTTGAAAATTAAAAAACAAAAAAAAAAGAGCATGTATAAATACTGAAGAAAACCACCACCTTCTAAAAATCATGACTGACTTTTCTCATTGCCATCCTTTCATTTCTTTTAGAAATCTGAACACCAATCAAGTATGAAGTTTCACTGATTCCCCTCAGATTTACTTTTTTCTTCACTTCCACCTTCCTTTCCCTATACTCCAATTTAATACATGTAACTTTCCACTTTAAGATTCTTGTGATTACATCAGGGAATGGAACATCTGAGCCTGGTTGTTGATAGTTTTTGAAAGCCAAGAAGGTTGTGTTTTGGGTGAAGACAGAGTTTAGGAGATTATGGTTGTGCTCCCAGGAACTGGTTGGGATTTTTGCTCTAACTTACAAAATGCTAAAGTAAAACATGAAATCTAGGGATTACCATAAAATCAAGGGCCCTGATGTGTGGGCAAAAATGATGTAGGTATTACTCCTTGCTTTGGAGGGACTCCTCAAAGAAGAGAAAATTTCAACTCCATTGTACCCTAGGAAGACTACTGGACTCCCTGAGCAAAGACACAGGCTACAGGGTAACTGGTACTGTCCCAGAAAGATCACTGGCTTTAACTTTTCCTCTGGAGAAAACAGGCTTCAAGGCA